TGGCTGGGAGCCGGGCCGGCGAGCGGGGCTACATCCCCAACAACATCGTGGGGCCCACGGACCAGGCGCCGCCGGAGAACGGCGCAAACCAAGTAGGTCGGCCGCCCGCTCCGAGGGGCAGTCGTGCACTCAGAGCCGGGGTATCCTGGCCTCCTGCTCCTTCTGCCCAGAGCCCCACTGCTGGGCCTGCTGCTGACCGGGAGCTTCGCTGCCAGCTCCTGGCTCCCGTCCTGCTGCTCCGCCCTCCCTGCACTCGGGCTCAGTCACAGGGTCCTGGCTGCTGGCAGGGGGGAGGGGCGCATACGAGTAGGGGTGAGCTCAGCACCCCCACCCCAAATGTGCTCCAGCACCACTGAACGTGCAGGGCCTCCCCGCTGCGCTGGGATGGGGGCGCTGGGCCCACCCCCTTAGGCCAGTGGCTACCACAACTAGCTGGCTGCTGGCTCCACCTACTGGCTGGCGAGTGGGGTCGTGGCACGTGGGGTGATGGGAGGGAGGAAGGGAAGCAGTCCCCATGCCCACTGGCTGGCGAGTGGGGCTGTGGCACGTGGGGGGTGGGGGGCCAGGAGCTCTCCCCATGCCTGTGGGGCAGAGGTGCTTTGATTAACCTTCTCATTGGCCGTGAGACTCCTCAGTCCCCTTCTCTCCTCTGGGTCTAGATGCCGAGAAGCTCCCCGGGGCTCCAGCCGAGCTCCACGCCAGCAGAGGTGACGGCCTGGCTGCAGGACATGGGCTTCTCCAAGATGTGAGTCCCCTCAGTGCTGGAGCCCGGCCCCGGCCCCCACCCTCTGGTCTCCGTGCATCGCAGCAGGCCCCCAGCTGGTCCTTTGCCCACAGAGCCAGTCTCCCGCTGCGGCTCCCCCAGCCATGTGGCTGTTTCCTCAGCCCCTTGTCTGTCTCTGCAATCCCTCCTTGGAGGGGTCGCTGAGCTCAGGGCTGGTAGCCCCCCTCACCGTCCGTCCGTCTCCCCGCAGCACCGTGAAGTGCCTTGGTGTGCTCAGCGGTCACCAGCTGCTGGGAATGGGCGAGGAGGAGATAACAGCCGTCTGCCCGGAAGAGGCGAGACGTCTTCTTCAAGCTCTGCGCCATTAAATCGACCCTGGAGGTGAGTCCGCTACCGAGCCTCCCAGGGCCTGACTGCATCCTGCCCAACAGGCTCTGCAGGGCTGTCTCCAGCACCCTGGGCCGGGGCAGCTGAGCACGGGGCCCTGGCTCAGGGATTCACACCTGGCTTGCGGCACGGCCAGTCTCCAATGCCGGCTGCTTTGGGGGGCCCGGAGCCCCTGAGGCTCAGATCCACGACAGTGCTTATTGCCCAAGGTCCAGCTGTGCTCTCCAAAGCCCAGGCCAGCTGCCACAGCAGCCCACGGACCCCTGAACGTGGTGCCGCAAAAGGTCCCGCGGTCTTTAACTGTCCGCCTCTGGGTGCACACACCGGCCCAGCTCCCGCCTGCCCCTCCAGCTGCACAGCAAGGCAGGGAGAGGAGCCCCAGGCGGGCCAGGGCTGTGGCAGCGCTGAAGCCGCCGGACACCGACCGCATGGAACTGAACCAACACGCTCACAGCCGGCTCTCGTCCAAACAATGGGGGCTTGCCAGCCTGGGCTTCATTCCAGTCTCACAGTGCAATTGGGGGGAAGGGAGGGAAACCCCCACAAACTGGGGCCCATCCATGAAAAGGTCCCTCTGAAAACTGGAGTGACCCTAATGGACCTTTTCTCCTGGGCTGGCTACACTGGCTCTGAGGACGAGCCTGGCCTGAGCACTGCACGGCCCAGTCCCGGGACCAAGGTGTGTACAGCCTCCAACACCTCCGCTTCTCTTCCTTCTTCCAGCGTGGCCCTCGCAACTAGCGGGCTCCCCCTGCACCGTCTCCCCAGGGCAGCAGCAGCAGCGCCATGAGCGACGCTGGACCGGAAGAACAGCCGATCCCTTCCAGCATCAGCCCTGCTGCTCTTCTAGGGTTTGCCAGAGTCTCTTCCCCTGCCCCGTGCAGAGACCCCACATCTGTCACTCCCTGGTTTTGTTCAGCGCTAGCCCAGTGGGGCCTTGGCCTGCTAGACACGCCAGCTCCACCGATCCTATTTATTCTCTCCCAGACACCAGTGCTCGGCCCCAGGACAGAGGGGCCAGTCTCCAATAGCTCAGCTGTTCAGCACCAGCCCAAGGCACGTAACCCAGCAGACACCTCTCCCTGCTCCTCTGCCGTGGGAAGAGACTTGGGCACAGGCCGATCAGAATCAGGCTGCTCCCTACCTAGGTGTAACATCAGCGCCGGTTCTGCCACCCCAGGCTACATGTGTTTCCTCTCCTTGGCTAGCAGCTGGCATGTAAAGGGAGGTCCTGATTCCCCCAATAAAGTGACTGAATCAACAGCTGGTCCCCATGCCCGACGGGCAGATTTGGGAAGGGGACTGGGAATGGGGGACAACCCCTCACCTCCCTCCTGCAGCAGGCTTGGTGCCCGGCCACTGCCCCTGGCCCCATCAGGTGGGTGAAGTGGCGATCAAGCAGAGGGAAAGTGTGTGTGGAGAGGAAAGGGCCATTTGTGCAGCACCCACCCCACTGAACATTTTTATTTGGGGAAAATCGAAGCCTAGGAATGTGACTGTCACTTCACTAGCTCCTACAGAACCCTCCCTAGTGCACACGCACACCTGCACCTCTCCCCCCTGCTCTGGCTTGCATGGCGAGGAAGCCGGAAGGGCCAGTCAGTGAGCAGGGGAAGCTCCTGCAGGCCCAGGGCAAGGCAGGACTCTCCCTCCATTTCATACTGCATCGCTGGCAAGCCCATGGTTTCTTTAAAGAGGGCGTTTGCCTGGGCCACCTAAATCCAGGCAGCTTTGGTGCAGAACAAGGCCGTGCCCAACACACTAGTCCCGGCTGCTTGCTCAGCCAGCGGTGCATTTCTAGGGAACACTGGGAGCCTGGACAGCCCTGCCTTGACCAGTGCAGATCCCTAAAAAGCAAAACCCAGGCCTGTCTCAAGGCTGGTGCACATAGGCGAGGCAGGGGAGGCAGGAATGTTTTGCATGACAGTGCCACTTAAGCGCGGTACGTGAGACCATGGCCAGAACACACGGCAGCCACTGGGTACGGGCACGTCTCTGATAAACAGAAGTCATGGATGCAGCCAAACTGAACTCCGCCCATAGTTTTTGCCACACGCTGAATAGCAGGATCGCCCCCCCCCCCCAAATCAGAGCATTGGCCATACCCTGCACAACATGGAATCATTTGGTAAATATCGTTAGAGCCACCCAGTCTCGCTTTGCTATAAAATGGGCTTAGTACAAAGCATTGACAGAAGGGAGTGAGCAGGACTGACCCACAGAGCCTGCTCTGTTACTAGAAGTAACTAGGCCCTTCACAGCAGTGACCCCAGTGCATGGCCTTCTGATAGGGGGGAAAATCAAAGGAACCGCGACCTCCTGCCCAGCCCTGGGGGTAGCATAGGGGTGAAGTGTAAGTGAACGAAGTTCTGTTAGTGTATTGAGTAGATCTTCTAGTAACGACTTCTGCATTGCTCTGTGCTGTAGCAGTTGCTTTAGAATTGATAGTTTAAACCTTAAATACTATAGTCATTGTTTTTAAGGCTTGGAACATGTAAATAACGTGAACTGCTTAGAGCTTGCAAGAAGAAAGGGGTTAAGTCGCCCTAGGGTGTCCTGGTTTCCCTTGGATCTAAAATAAATCAAGCCCCACAACAGGGTGGAGCCTTGTAATTAAGGCACTTGGTGGACCTCTAGCTAGGAACCTTCTAGACCCAGCTACTCTTGATCGTTTAGTGCTCTGGAAAAAAAAAAAAAAAAACACCAAGGCCTGCCAACCTATTTCCTAATGTAGCATCAAGTCTTCCACCACCAGCTCCCCACCAACTCCCAGTCACTAAAGCTGACAAGTAGATACAACAATGGGCCCCTGCAGAGAACTAATGGCGGCCCAGGAGAACTCCCCTGCAGGTTCAGAGGATGCAGGTCCTTTAGGTGCCAGGGCAACTGATGTGTAAAAGGGAAGTCAAATCCCCTGGAGCTACTGATTCCCCTATGAGGGGCACGTACAACATACATACATTGCTAATGCTTAGGTATATTTGCTATTTGTATAGGAGTAAGACATGATAATGGTCAAGGCCTGTCGCAAAAACAACACCTAATAAGGGACGATGGGAAGTGAAACCAGTCTCCTGTTAAGTGGAGATATGGATATATTCCACATGCTTTAACTTGTGACAGGCTCAAGCAGGGAAGCAAAAAGGGAAGTGTGGCTCGCCCATTGCTCAGCAAAATGAATAAATGTAACACAACTGTAACCGCAAAGTCAGCAAGTAGGCACTGTATTTAACCTCATTTGGAAAATTAACCTGACCTATAAGAATGCTAAATGTCAAAAATGAAGTAACCTATCATGTTAAGGCACCTAAACCAGGAAGGATGTTAACCCTATAAGACCCCTTGCTTACCGAAGTTGGGGGTCGGCTCTGCTTTGAACATTGAGTTCCTTAGCCATACCTTGGTTGCAACCAATAAACTTGAGTTGGACCCAGCCTGAAAGTGTGACTCTCTTCTTGGGGTAAATCAGACTAGCCTCCAAGGGGATGAAACCAGCAATTTATGCAACACAACCCAGCCTGGTCATCACTGCCCCCACACTCCTCAAGGCAAGAGGGACCAGGGACAGCATTTGGACACCAGGAAGCAGGGCTCTGAACACCAATAAGCATGGAACAAGAAACAGGCCAGAGACTCTTCCCTTGGCGGGGATCTACACTAACAGCCCGTTGAAGCCACCCTGCAACACTGGCTGGACAAGTCGGGCTGGAGCCCTCAGGCGGATGCTGTTAGGCTGAGAGCGTCAACCAAAAAGTTCACCTTAGTCTAAGTTTAAAAACACGAGTCGCTCTGTAGCATCTTCGAGAGTAACAAAAAATACAGACGTGGCAGAGCCCATGAGACAACCTCTGTATTTTGTTAGTCTCGAAGATGCTACCAGACGACTTGTGTTTTTAAACTTACAGACTAACAGCTGCCCCCCGAGACTTAGCTACCAAGAGCATGTTCTCCCCAAGAAACGCAGCATCCGTTTGGTTCTTCCCGTGCTGCTCTCCTGCTCCTGCAGAGCTGTGAACGCCAAAACAGGACTCGGCTGTGCTCCCGTCAGAGCTCCACTGTGGGGTTGGCTTCATGGCTCTTTGCCACTCTATTAACTCAGACACTGGTTTCCTCCCAGGGAGGCGATGGCTATTCAGCAAGAGGGAACCATTGTGCAATTCCTAAACGTTTACTGGCCGGTCGCTACAGAGCAAGGCTGCCGCAGGCATTTGGCGTCTGCAATTCACCAAAGCTGCCGCTTCGTACTCAACTTCCACCCCCCCTCCCCCCCAGAGCCCATCTGCAGGAGCCCCCCCCAAACAGCGCTCAGGCGCTCCAGACTGCCCCTGTCCTCCACACCCATCTTCTACTTCTGGTTGCTCCACTTGGCCATCCTGTTGTTGATGGGCGTCTTCATGTAGCGGCTGGAGCACATGTAGGCCGCAATCTTCTCCAGGGCCTAGGGGAGAGCAGAAGGTGTGTGAAGCAGAGGGGAGACCCAGTCAGCTTCCCAAAGCGCCTCCCAACACGGCCTCAGCCCCCTGAAACGAACACAAAGCCACGCAAAGGACACCCCCGACCAGGAATTGGCTCAGGGTTCCAGCTAGTGAGTCCCTGATGTACCAGCTGGCTCTCTGCGGGGGGGGAGGGGCGGGGTGGGGGTCATCTGACCTTTGTGTCGCTGCACACAGAGCCCCCCCCGCCATTGCAAGCCAACCCTTGGGGACTGCTGCCTCCTGGCACAAGTCAGAGCAGCCCCAATGCTGCTCCCTGCTCGGCCCAAGTCCGTGCCCGGAACCCACAGCCCGCTCCCTGACGCTGCCTAGCGCCTCGGCAGCCTGGCCCACGGCTCCGATCCAGATACAACATCTCACGTGTGTCCCCGAAGCCAGGACGGGAGACCACAGCAAAGTGACAGGCAGGGACTTGGCTTTGAGCCAGCGTTTGCCACTTCAGCCATTTCCACAGCCAACAACAGCCACTGGCACCCGGAGCAAGGGCCCAGCAGGGCAGGAGCCAGGGTGCCATGGGCTCCCAAGAGACACTGCTCAGGAGAGCTCACAGGACAGGCACGTGGCATCCTAGCTTCCAGGGCCACTGAAAAGGGTCTGCCCGGAGCACCAAGCAAGCAGGGCACCAAGATGTGGCCATCTTTCCATCAGAGAGGGTAGCAAGTCCCCCTTAGAGGCCCCCAGGTACGTGGCTAAACGGGGGGAGAGGGAGAGACTGACTTCCCTTTTCCTCAAGGCCCCCAGTCAGGCCTGCAGAAAATCTTTAGCGCACTGGGGAGAGGAAAACACCTATGTGCTCCCAGAGCAGAGGGGACGGGCCTCCTCCCCGGCAGTAACAATAGCTCAGGGAGAGAAGACGATTCTTTGCCTGTTGCTAAATGCCTGGGCAGCCATGTTCTTTGCAGAGTCTGCAGCTGGACGGGTCAGACTGAGGGCACCGGGGGGAGGCGTTCTTGTCCCGTGCCCTGAGGCAAACAGGCTGTGCCTGAATAACCAGGGAGTCGCATGTTACAGGAGTCACAAACCTCACCTCAAAGCGGTCGAGAAAACCCTTCAGGTTTTGGAAAGGATCCAGGCACTTGGGCTCCAACATGCGGTTCTGATCCAGGACGTCGTACATGAGGAAGTCGACAAAGGTGATCTGGGGAGAAGTGACACAGGGCAGTCGAGTTGTTCCCAGCCCCTTCTCCTTAATCACCCTGCCCACCCTCCTGCCACTCTCCTTCTCCCCAGCAAACCACTTCCTCTCCCCCAGGAACCGGGAGAACAGCTTCAGCTTCCCCGGCAGCTGCTCCAAGTAGCCAGGCTTCAGTTTCTCCTGCAGAGAGCAAGGCGGGGGGGGGGGCAGGATTAGAGCAAGAGAGCAAGGCAGCCCCTGTGCCCACTCAACACATGGAAAATTCTTGTAGGGGGAAAGGCACCTGGAGTTTGAGGGGGCAGCATCATGCTTCAGGGCAGGCTGCCTGCTAGGGTCAGGAAGGAATCCCCTTGGACAGTACTGTGCAAGGGATAGAGCCATTGGACAGTTTGGGGCCACCACCCTGGGCCCTGCTCACTTTGGTCCCACAGAGCCCCCAACTGGGGGGCCTGATCCCAGCAGCAGGGGTTGTGCCCCTGTCCACACTCACTGGCAGTAGTAGGAAGCGGAGTGACCCAGCTCTCAGCCATGGCTCTTGGGGAGAGGGGGCCCCCCCGCACTGGCAGCAGGAAGGGAGCCCCTGCTGCTGGGGCCAGGAAAGCCCCGTGCAGAGCGGATCTGGCCGGGCAGCAGGGCTGTACTCACAAACTCAGGGTTGTAGCAGATCATGACGAGACTCATGCGGAAATCCATGGCCTGGTTCTCCAGCATGTCCACTCGCAGCATCTCCTCCTCCGTCTCCCCGCCTGCGGAGCAGAGCAACGCTGAAGTGCCCCAGCGGCTCCCCAGCCACGTCCCAGCCCCCTGCCCCCGCTACTCACCCAGCTTGTGCTTGCGTGCGAGGTAGCGCAGGATGGCATTGCTCTGCGTGAGCTTGGTCTTGCTGTCAATGAGGTAGGGCAGCTGGAAGGGCAGCCAGAGGATCAGCCAGCTATCACTGCCCCCTCCCCCCTGGCCACATGCCCAAACCCGTCACCACCACCCTACCCTGGGGGGCAAGAACCCATCCGGACCCCCACACTGTCCCTACTCAGAATCCACCCTCATCAGTGAAGTCCCCCCTCCCCCCAAGCCCACCGAGGGACCCGCCCCTGCTTGCCCACCCCCAGCAACTCTACATACATTCGGGAAATCCAAGCCCAGCTTCTCCTTCTCGTTAAGCCACTGGCTCTTATCATAGTCCGGAGCTGGATGAAGAAGAGAGCGTCAGTCCCCCGCCACTGCCAGCACGGCCAGCTAATCCCACCCCTAGCATTGGAACACACCTGGGGGCAAACGTGCCCTGGTGCAATGCACCATCAACTCATGGCCAGCAGAACATGCCAGGGACTCAGTGCTGCAGGAAGTCGGGTCCTCGGTCGGAGAGCCCCCATCCTTCCAGGCCAGCTCCCCCTGCCCCCCTTGGAATGGCCACTCCCACACAAGTCTGCACAGTTTTACAACTGCAGGTGCAACATCTAACCTGCTGCCTGAGCCGGGCGGCGCCTCTGCTCTGCTTTCAGCTGGTGACCCATTGTTTCCGCACAATGGAGACAAGAGCCCTGGCACAGCCCTTTGCACCAGTTTAATCATCACCGTAGTTAAACCGGGTGCCTCTGGCTTCCGCACGGGTGCCCAGTTTCAGAACCTGCTGCAACCTGAGTTGGCTGCCAATTAACACAAGAGCACCCTGCTGAATTATTGACAGGGCTGTAAATAATCAGCTGAACATTCACCCTTAGCCAGCTCAGTTGCACACATCCTGGACCTTGGCCTGGCTGACACCAGGGTGCAGAGACAGCAGCAAAGGGTGCCTCTGGCTTCCGCACGGGTGCCCAGTTTCAGAACCTGCTGCAACCTGAGTTGGCTGCCAATTAACACAAGAGCACCCTGCTGAATTATTGACAGGGCTGTAAATAATCAGCTGAACATTCACCCTTAGCCAGCTCAGTTGCACACATCCTGGACCTTGGCCTGGCTGACACCAGGGTGCAGAGACAGCAGCAAAAAGCAAGTCTCCAACCCCGGGGTGTGACAGGGCAGCCCCCCGTCCCATGTAAGAGGTGCACAATGCAGGGCGCTCGTGGGTGCTGGAACGTGGTGACACCCGTTGGAGTTTGGCCAGACATGAGAACACGAACGGGGCCGTCACAGCCAGACAATCGTTCTTCCTACGGTGGCCAGGCAGCAAGTGTGGAAACTCAGGACCGGGAGGTGGGGGTGGAAGGCAGAGCCCCAAATATCCAGCCTGTTCCTAGAAACATTGGGACATTTTTCGCTCCCACAAGTTAAAACCCTGGTGCAGGCAGACACGGCCGTGGTGGATTCATATTGGTCAACAAGCTGACTGCAAAGACCAGAGGGGAGTGCAGTGTCAGTCTCCCTGATAACCTGCGTTAGAACCACAATCGCCCTGGCTAGGAAGTTCAGACAACTAGAGGAGTCAACGCTGTCTGCGGGGAGAGCAGCCCGGCTTGACCCTTCACCCTCGTGGCTGGAAGTACGACGTCCTGCCTCGCTCCCGAATCCAACACCCCACCCCAGCCCATAGAGCCGCATGCCCCATGCGGGATACAGCTGCCACTTGCTATTCCAGCTGTGAGCCCTGCCCCGAGCCCCAGGGACAAGGCGAGAGGGGGGCAGCAACCACCTCAGTTGCTGTTCACATGTTCAGAGGCCGACGCGCCCCACAAGCGCAGTGAAGATGTGGGGAGATCTCGTGGGGCCCGTGCAGCAGGCACCACGAGGGGACTCCTGCAGAGCCCCAGCCAGGGATGGAGGGTTAGAAACCCAGCTAACGTGCATGCAGCCTCCAGTGAGTTCCAGTGGGCAATCACGGGCGACAGGGAGCAGGACAGGAGGGATGGGGCACTTCCCCCTCCCAACTGGCCGGGGGGGAGGGGAGGGAGACAGACAAGCTGGCCAGGGGTGCACCAGAGAGCAGGGGCTGGGAATAGGGGCTTGCCCGGCCCCACCACCTGCCCCGAGCTCCAGCCTGAGACCTGGGTTCCGATGCCAGCTCCAGCCCCGTGGCTCCTGCAGCCCAGGCTGGCGCGCCGTGGGGTGGGCCGCACCCAGCAGGTCACTGGCCTCTCGCCTGGGCAGGGGACTGTGGGGCGGGGCCCTCCACAAACCAGCGGTCGCAGGCCCTTGCAGCAGCTCTCTACTAGCTCTGCTCCCTGCCGGCAGCTCTCACCTTCCCCGCAGCTGTACAGCTTGTCCTCGTAGGCCGTGCCCGTGTACTCCAGCAGCAGGCGGATGGAGTGAGCCAGCTGCGGGGAGAGGCGCACGGCAGGGTGAGCGCCCGCACGGACCAGCGCCTCACGCCAGGATCCGCCCACCTCGGGGCTCCCAGCAGGCGTCACACTCGGAGACCCGGGCGTGTGAATTCATGGGGGCGGCGGACAGCACGTCATTCCCAGCCTAGGACCCCCAGCAAAGCCACCCGGCCAGGCGTGACTCTGGCCTGCCACTCTGCTCAGCCCAGTGGGGAAGAGCAAGTCACCCAGGTTAGTAACGTGCTGCCAAGAGCCCCATGAGACTGGACGGAGTCACATGCCTCCCACGAGCCCCAATCTGGCCTACGCGAATTCTTTAGCCCCAGCGCGCGGCTTGAACGACACCTGGAAACCCAGTCAGACATTCCTTTGAGGAAGGGGAGGTTCTCAGGCATCCCCGCTGCCAACCTGGCCAGGAGCTTGCAGGGGGGCGATGCCCCCTGCTGGGGTCCCATCACCCCTTGATTTCTCTCTCGGGAGCTAGGTCTCTGCTCCCTTCATTGCTGCACCCACAGCACTTTCCCTTCCACCAGTCACTAGAGCACTTACCAGGGCCGTTAGCCAGGCTGGGCCCCTGTTCTGCTCACTCCCCCTGGGGCACCTGGCCGCTGACAGGACACTGGCTGGACTGGCCCTTGTGCTGACCCAGTCTCACCGTGCTTATGCTCTTACTCCGCCCACACAAAAGGCAGGCCAGTTCACCCCTCCCCCCTTTATCGACGGGGAAACTGAGGCAGCGATTAAGCACTAGTTTCAAAGCTGGTCTCTGAGCGTGGGTGCCTGCCTGAAGCGAACTCTCCCAGACACCCTCGAAGGACACTGGCTGGACTGGCCCTTGTGCTGACCCAGTCTCACCGTGCTTATGCTCTTACTCCGCCCACACAAAAGGCAGGCCAGTTCACCCCTCCCCCCTTTATCGACGGGGAAACTGAGGCAGCGATTAAGCACTAGTTTCAAAGCTGGTCTCTGAGCGTGGGTGCCTGCCTGAAGCGAACTCTCCCAGACACCCTCGAAGCAGCCTGCCCGGGGCCAGCCACAGACACGGGCTAGAGCGCACCCTC